TGATTAACTTAACTTAATCTAACTATCAATCATTAAGCGCACATTGTTTTTAGCTCATAAAAAAACTTTCTTATCAATGTTAATGCGAAAAGTTATCATAAAAAAACATTAGCATATATGCTTTTCTGTATAAATGTATGTGCGTAAATATACTCTACATATGTAGAGTGCATTTTTCCATCACCTTCAACTTCGTGCCGTACAAGAAATCGCGTGTAAATTACTTACAAATTACTTAAAAGCGTTAATGATAGCATACACGTTAAAAAAGGCGGGCGAAAAAATTAAGCAAAGCAGAAAAAAATGCAGCGAACATAAAAACGAACATGAAACTATAGCATAATAGCATAACATAATAGCTAATAACATTAGTGCATTAATGCCGGAAAATGGTAGGTGTCGTTGGCAAGGAAAACTATGATGAAATGCAGCAAAAAAACATCAGGTAGCCGGGGATTCTTAGCAAATATTGCTTTTACTCAATCTTCAAAATGCGTGCGCACACTTATGCAAACTCTCGCAGCACTATTAACCATAAATGTTTGTGTATGTGTGTATTTGAGCTCTACAAGTAATCCGCTCTTCAGTTTACCGCTTGATCTTCGCATTGTTTGAGCAGAAAATTGTAGCAATTTCAACTGTCAACGCGCCAAGCAAACACATACACACACACCACACACACTTATACATGTATATACATTTACCGCCACTCCTACTGATCCTGCCACAACATTTGATTCATGTATGCGCAACGGCAGCCCACTTAGCGTCGAAGGCTCGCTCCGTGATCGGCGATCGGCGTGCCTCAGCTCGCCCATATACGCGCAACTGCTGCTGAAAAGAGTATCAATTACCCAAACAATTATTTACCTTTTCGCAAATCTCTTTCGCTTTTTATTGCAACAATAAGCGGCGCAACAATGCGCACAATACAACAAAGCCGTGCCGCAAAGAGCCCCTAATAATTGTCATCATCCGAGCAGCGGTGTTCGGCAAGCACTCCAATTGTTGCATATATGCAGCTACTGCTGCTGGTAATGGTGCGGAAGTAGGGAGCAACTACTACTTATTTCCTGCCCCTGCCACTCAAGGGGCTCGAGGGGCGACCGAGCGAGCATGTAAATGATACTTTGATATTTTTCTGATTCAGCTTTTATTTTGATTTTTCTCTTGCACTCCGTTGTATACAATTTATTTCCGACTGAGTGATAGTTTTCAACTACAAAAACAACTAAGGACTTTGCATAATTCTTTTGCTTGTTTGCTGTGTATTAGTTACAAAGCAAGTCACCGCTTTGGCAGCGAAATTGTGTTCATTTGAAAGGGAATTATTGAAAAGTAGTTGAAATGCTTAGTGCTAGTTGTTGCTGTTTTTGCAATGGTTGTTGTTGTACAAAAAAAGTACGCCATTTGAAAAATATTGCCACAATGCATGTTGCTGCTCACTGCAATGCTATGCGGTAGCTTTACATAAATTACAACAACATAAATACAAGCAAAAATTCAGTGCAGTTGCTTGTTAGTACAGCAGCAGCAACAATAATTTCTCAAATACTCAAATGCATAGTGGAGAAATAGTTGGAGCTTCTTAAAAACATTACGTTGCATTTGGAGCGAGTGTTACGAAATCTCTTCGTTGCAAGCAAAAATATTAAATAAAATAAATAAATTTAAT